TAGTAGTGTGCTATACCTTGCAACTCTAAGAACTCCGCTTCATACAAGAAGATGTAAGGACGAATAATCTAACCCTCCAAAGAAAATTAAATGTTACAGAAACTAAAGGGAAAATTATAGAACTTCAGCATCGCTTTTATTTTGATTGAGATTTCAAACTAGTAATTTGTTCGGTCTTCGAACTTCTTCCAAAATTATAGACCACACCTTTTTGAAGAAAAAAAATAGGGAAACGTTGCTGTAATAAGCCTGATTATACTTTGATAGCTTTGGAAGGTATTAGGAATGAAACTTGTGTAAGGGTGTACTAACACTATAAACTAAAGCACTCAGAATCAAATTAGTAAAAACCACTTCTTCCCAAGTAGGGCTTTATCTAGTAATGTAAACGTTTGTATTTCATCTTTGTTTTTAGGAGAAGGAGATGCTGAATAAGCTCAATGAGATGAAGGAGCGAACGGAACCAATGTCCAGTATAATTCCGGAAATAGAAACTCATTGGACAGATATCGTTAGCGATCGCGGAGTAAGTCATGCAAAAAGGAGTCATCGCCATTAGTCTTCTACGGCACTTTTTTTCCAGTCTCTAACAAGACGACATGTGGATCAACAAGAAGCGATATGGGAAATTGTGACCACTGAGTATCGCTACATTCAGGTAAACAATAAAATTCTGCGTTTTCGCTAAAAAAACATTTCTGTTCCTTTACAGGTATTGAAGAACATGCATGATTTGTCATGCTATTTTATCGAACTGCAGAAAATTGGCTATTTCAAGTGAGTTGTCAATATTTTTTGTCAATATTATTTTTTTTACTAAACCATCTTTCAAGGCTCATCTTTGTGGTCTGATCTTTACTAAAATTCCATCACTTAACTTCCTTGCATTTGGAACTTTATCAAAACATCGTGAACTTCCATGAATTTCTACCTCCTTTATCTCGCTGATTGGATACTTTATTCTTACTTTGTTCTGCCTTCTCAAAGAACAATATAACATTCAAGAAAGC